CATAACAAATATCTTCAGATAAATAATATTTAGCTTCCTCTGCAGGCATCTCTGGTTTCTATATTTTCCATGTATTTTCCTATAAGCGGACCACACAGTGTGTGTATAAGGATTTGGCCAAGATGGACTGAAAGCAAAGAAAAAATTGTCCCTCTCCCAACACGTTCCACAGAAAGCCCAGAGCAGAACAGAGATGATTGTAGAGGAGGCTATAAGAGCTGTATACATCTGCTTACCATTATAAGGGATCTCAGTTGATACATCTTGATCTAATAGTAATGATGTCTCATACGCCCTGTTATCATAATACAACAATAAGCCATCAAGAGCTGTTTGTCTGTACATGTAGGTCTGACCCTTGATCTACTTCATACTTATTCAGTTATTGTGATATTGATTATTTTATCAATAGGAGAAGAGCCACCTTGTGGATTCTATTGATTAAACCATTATTATTATATTATTATTATTATTGTAGACGCTAGAGAAAAACGTTTGCGCATAAGTGCCTTTCAGCATGTTTTCTAAGAATTTAGAAGGTTTAGTGAGAAAACGAATGTTAGTTTCCTCAGAGCATACACAAATAGTGTGAGTATACTTTCATGAGACCAAGATACTGAACTAATAAAGATACTGTACTAATAAAGACAGTATGGAAAATTAGCCTTAAGTTTTGAGAACTGACTCTTAAGTTTTGGTATTTTGTGAAGTCCATATTTTAACAATAATTAAGTGTCAGACGTGTTTCCAAGTAACGTGCTTAACCTTGATACTGAAGGCTCTTTAGATTGCTTCACAACAAAGTATTTCTTACCAACATCTTGCTACATTTCGAATGGTATATCCACCTCCACCTAGAACTAGCATTGGCAGGTTAAAAGACTTCATAAAACGTACACATTCCCTGTTATAGAGGATAACAAGAATAATAAATACATCAATTGTCAACAGGATATAAAAATGAGTGAGTTTAACTAATGAGAAATCTTCTCTCTCAGCTTCCCCGAGAGGCAGTGATGAAGTAGCATGCAATCAAAGAATATGTAAAATATTTCAGACAGGCTGACATAGATGTGGGAATGTTTTCTGCAACACCAACATAGACATCTCAAGATTGTGTTTAATGTCTTCTTATTCCAAACCACAGGTATTTCCCTTGAGAGTTATATTTTTCTTTACCAGGAATACTTCAAAAGGTACATGAATGACATGCACCCCCAAAGACAGTATCTTTTTCCTAAAAGGCTTGTAGTGGGAAAGAGTAAGCTTAAGCTAGAAGACATTCTTGGAAACCCAGGGATAAAATTATGTCGCTTGTTTCTCTAGTAGTGCGAAATGAACTACAGAATTTTACGCCTGGGTTCCCGAGGACGGCTAGAAACAGGTTAGTGATAGTATTCTAGTACAGTACATACCCATGGCCCTTGATGCTAAGGTTAAAACATCCCAGCCGATCACAACCTAGGGAGTCTGCTCCACACTAATGAAGAAAAATCATTTAAAAGAAGTATAAGACATGTAAACCAGAAGAAATCTCACCAATTATTGAGGACTGAAACAGCCCCTGCTTTGATCTAAGTAAGGGCATGTCTAACAGAGATTGAAATGGAATTCAATGTAAGACTCCTTAGCCAAACTGCTAATATTATTGTAAAAGGCACAATCCACTCATTGCCACTTTTTGTGTGACTGATGGACCCAGAAACACGTCTCAACTTAAGGAATGTATACTTTATTTGGGTTTTTATTAAAAGATTTTGCGCTATATACAGTTGAAAGCACACCGGTTGCTAGGGGTACCCTGATACCTTAAATAAATAAATAAATTGATTAACTTTGTTTATAGAGGATAACACTTGACAGTAATTGAACTGATAAACTTGTGGTCCTCTGTTAATCATCCGAGCAACGTAAAGGTCTAACCATTTGCAGATGTAATTACAAAGGCAGCACCTTCTCCTCAGTTATTTTAAGACCCTGAGTGTTGGTACGGCCGAGGCTTGAACAATGACCTCCCGCACAACAGTTCTACAATTCTACTCATATATGATCCCAAGTCAAGGAATAAACCCAAAAAATGAATTGCCTCTCAAAATGAATTGGCAGCTATTTTCTGCTTCCAATTCTGTTCAAGTCAGAAAGAAGACTTAACATCACTGTACCTGTAAAACAACTGCACTTGGTTGATATTGGTCTACAACCATGGTTATGATTGGTTTGAATAAGCTGTCATAATCTGGAAAAAAAGTAGACAATAAGAAAGTCAACAAGTGTTAATTGCAACCATAACAGCTCAGTTGTTTAGTGCACAGCCTTCAGAGTTTAAGGTCCATGGTTCAATCCCCAGGATCTTCACGTCTGTTTTGCATTTTTTCTAAACCATGTAGCTTCAACTTCGAATGCTCTTAAAATAGAGCACTGAAGTAGAGACAGGGGTAGAGTGTGCACCATCACCTCCCTGGAAGACCAGCTATTAGCTGAAGGAACACAGATGTAAATAGGCTTTTACCTTATGTACTATAAAGACTTTTTGACATTGATGTACCAAGAAAATAGTTATAATAATTCAGAAGACATTGTCCTTGTAGTCAGTGGCTATAAACAAACTCGTAGCCCCCATTAAATAATTAAATTTGAATTAATTTAGTAGTAGATTTTTCTTGAGGGAAGAGAACCTACAGACAAATTCCCACAGAGAACTGAGAACCACCAAGCAACTTGTTGGGGCAGAGGATATGACTCATGGCCTTTAAGGTAAGTAGTGGTGCATGAGCAGCACACACCATCTGTTAATAAATTGTTACGCAGGTAGAGAGTTTTGATACATACTTTGATCATCAATGCCATCTTTTAAGGGTACATTTATGGAATACATCTTTCCACTGTCCACACCAACTTCATACATATCTCCTGCAAACAATGCAAAAAAAGAAAAAAAGGATTGGAAAGGTGTTCCTCAAGGTATGTTTTGGGGCCAAAACTATTGTAAATACTGACAGTTTATAAATGTATTACTGATAGTACAGTGTATCAATAGCAAAATTTGTTATAGGCAATTTATTGTTAAAGCTTACAAAAACATATTTGAAATAAAATGACTTCTTGATATTTTGTCTG